CACATCTATTGCTTTCTAATATCATTAGGCCTACCATTTCACAGTGCAATATTTTTGTTTGCAGGTCGTACTTTAATAACAATGAGGATACAAATAAAACATTTAATATAGTCATTTCAATAATTTAAATTTCAAGATTAAAAAATCAGTACATGATTTTACTGGCCACCTCTTTATCTCACACATCTCCACATTTCTATTGCTTTCTAATATCATTAGGCCTACTATTTTCACAGTGCAATATTTTTGTTTGCAGGTCGTACTTTAATAACAATGAGGATACAAATAAAACATTTATTATTGTAATTTCAATAATTTAAATTTCAAGATTAAAAACAAATCAGTACATGATTTTACTGGCCTCCTCTTAATCTCAATACAAGATGGAGAGTGGATTCTTTTTGGATATTGTAGTCTGAAAGTGTTCTACCATCTTCCAATTGTTTACCAGCAAAGATCAATCTTTGTTGGTCTGGGGGAATACCTTCTTTATCTTGAATTTTAGCTTTGACATTTTCAATGGTATCTGCTGGTTCAACTTCAAGGGTGATGGTTTTACCAGTCAAAGTCTTGACGAAGATCTGCATACCTCCTCGTAATCTTAATACAAGATGGAGAGTGGATTCTTTTTGGATGTTGTAGTCTGAAAGTGTTCTACCATCTTCCAATTGTTTACCAGCAAAGATCAATCTTTGTTGGTCTGGGGGAATACCTTCTTTATCTTGAATTTTAGCTTTGACATTTTCAATGGTATCAGCTGGTTCTACCTCTAAGGTGATGGTTTTACCAGTCAATGTCTTGACGAAAATCTGCATACCTCCTCGTAATCTCAATACAAGATGGAGAGTTGATTCTTTTTGGATGTTGTAGTCTGAAAGTGTTCTACCATCTTCCAATTGTTTACCAGCAAAGATCAATCTTTGTTGGTCTGGGGGAATACCTTCTTTGTCTTGAATTTTAGTTTTAACATTTTCAATGGTATCAGCTGGTTCTACCTCTAAGGTGATGGTTTTACCAGTCAATGTCTTGACGAAGATCTGCATTCTGAAAAAGAAAGATTTACTATCTAGATACGGGTCCACATACCTTAATCCGTATGATATGAAACTATTTAATACTTAATTACGCGTCAAAAATCCATTGACGCCATTTTGTTTTTCATTTTTTGACATCGAAATTAATATAAAAATATACCATTATTAGGTCTATAAGCCCAATGTAATATACTTCTTTCTAACTCTTCTCGATAGGGTTTCAACTATGGCACTTCCTTACCGAAAAAAAAATCACAATTTATCAACGAAAGAAATAGATTATTTTACCTACTTGACTACGTGTTTTTGAGGCTAAGATCACTGTAGAATAATGATGTAAATAGCTGTTACCGTTAATTTTATACCAGATGTCATGTGACAAAAAGGTAGTGCATCGATTGGTTAAGTTCTTTCTAGAAAAGTCTACATACGTCATCAAACTATTAATAGTAATATAATATCTATTTTTAGATCTTCGTCATAGACCTGACTCATGTCCAAGTTGAAACCTCAAAGGCTAAACAATATAAATTGTATCAAACATACTAGTCTAATATGCATATGTACCAAAATTCTGTCTGCTTAGACTAGACTCAATTAGTTGAAACCTTTTGGTTACAAACTTACAAAACTTATAACAACTAAGAACAAGTCGAAGTGGCTCCAATAATGTTTGTTGTCAAGGGAGGTCACCAAGAGAGATTGCGGAAGCGGAAGCAAACATTCTTGACATGCGCTTTAATTGTTTCTAAAACGTGAGCGGGCGGCAAAAAAGTAACGCATTAAGGTTAAGGAGTAAATTTTTTCTTCAAGAACCTTAAAACTAACTTATATTGCTTAACATGCCTGCCAGAGGAAGAAAGAGAGTTTTAGAGGATGCGGAAGATTCACCCAGTACCCCAGAAAAGAAATCTAAAACAGGGAAGAGCGCTAAAAATGGGAAAGTAACGAAGGAGATTGAAAAGGTTGAGAATGGTAAAAAGTCTAGTAAAGTAAATGGAACTTCGACGAGCAAGGAGATCATCAAAGAGAATGGGTCTGCATCTAAGAAAGAAGCAAAAGCATCCCGGAAGGAGGAGCCTATGGAGGATGTCCCTCCACTAGTAAAAGTTGAACACCGGTCCCC